AAGCAAACGTTTTGAAAAGTAGAGAGATTGCAGAAATGAGGAAATGCGCTTTTTTAATCCTCAATTCGAGGTAAAAATTTAGAGAAAAATATTCAAGCAAAAATTACGCGAAAACTACTCTTTTTTTTCAAAAATGTATACATGACCATATCTAAAGATTAATTTTTAGGACAAACAATATGTCATCAATATTGTACTTTTAAAATGTAATTTTTATAATTTTCAAAAATACAGAGTTTGGTGAAAATAGGGCTGTTGAACAGTTTTCTTTTCAAACATTTTTTCGGTGTCAAGGACGCTAGAACGTGAATACATTAAGCGTTAGGAAAAGAATTTATTACATATAAAAACAAGATTTACGCACTTTTTCGATTCTAGTGTCCTGCAACATGACGTTTCTTTCTAGAAATCGCAGCATTACAACAATCTATCTTTTCTCTTTTCCACGTAAGTACGTAGAGAGGGGAGAAAATAAGAAATATTGGTTCCACAACATTTTCTCACATACTCACATTTTCTCGAACAGTGACATAGTATATCAATCTTTATCCTACAAATTATTTAGCCAGCCTTCAAAAAACTAAGTTTGCTTTAATAATCGGATAGTTAATTATATAATGCAAGACGTTAATTAATATCTTGCATTATTCCTGCAAATATTGTAATATTACTGACTCAAATAGATAATTTCGCTACATAAATACCTCCAGTTGTTGAAAAAAATCAACTTAGTCCATACACACCCCACTTTATCCAATAATTTGCACAAAACAGTTCAAATTTGAACTCCACTCAAGCTTCATTCGTATTTACAAAAGCTTGAGAAAGTGTACAATAATTTTAATTTTTCATATGTGTACCAATTTCGTCATGAAATGTTTTTTCTTCTCCTGAAAAGTAAAGTTTTTGAAATATGATTTTTTAAAGCTTTCAATTGAAAAAACCATGGAAAACAATCATTCAGACCAGTCATTCTCTAGAATTCTTCTTCTCCAGGCAGAAGTGAACCTCCCCATATAGCGAGTGTCGAAAATCCGTCACCTTTGACACTCGAACCTAGCATCTCCGAATCAGAGATGTTGCATTAGAAACAGCTGCTGTCTTCAGATCCAAATGTCTAAACTATGTAATTAAATAATATTGCGTTATTCATAGTAGACCTTTTTTTGTAAAAATATTGTTAAAGTAAATGAGCCAGAAATACTTTTCGTGGATAAGCAGTGTAGATAATGGCAAACGTGAAATTTCATGTTGTCCGGAATGGTTGCGAGGTTATCAGGGTTGAAAATGTATGTGTGTGAGACAAATACATCATTGTAGAATGATATCTAGAGAAATGCATTTGAAAAAATATTTTAAAATCCAAGAATGCTTAATTTAAATGAATTTAATATTCGTATTTAAAATAAGTTTCATCTGTTGCGTGAGAAATTTCTCTTGAGAAATGATTAATTAGATAAACATTTTGAAAAATAAATTGCAAAAGAGAATCTAGAGTAAGTAACGTCGGGAAATGTTTGGGATAAAAAATATTTGACATTAGAATTAGGCCAATTGTGTTGAATAAATTGTGATAAATTGTTTAGAAATAAAGATATAACTTTCTATTCTTTCCCAAACACAAAATGCGAATGACATATGTTGTGCAAATTAAACCAGACCTATACAAAATTCTTTAACTATTTCTCAGATAATAGTGTGGCGAGGGCTGGCAGTGTAACAGAGAAATGAATGAGAAGAATAAGTGGTAAAATTGGAAGAGAGAGGAGTGAACAATATAGATTTCATTTTTGAGTCATTATTATTCTAATTAATGAAAGTTTTAAAAATAAGGAAGTAAATAAATAAATAAATAAATAAATAAATAAATAAATAAATAAATAAATAAATAAATAAATAAATGGAAAAACGTTTCAATGGTAATTCTTACCATCACGTGAAACTTCATGGCCAAGAAATCCGTTTTTTTTATTTTCTCCTCTGAGAATAATGATGTAAAGACTACGTGGAATTTTTTGCTAAGTGTTTCTTTCGACAGACATTTTTCTGTCTTTTTGTGGTATTAGTCATACAAATTAATGTTTTCCCCTGCATACTTGACAAGGTTACGCTAACAGAGTTTTTGCTTCCTTCAGTTTTGCATTTTGCTTCTTGAAATAATATCTTTCGTCATGGACATTTAATTTACTCCGCATATATTTTTTAATTTAGGTATGCATACATATAAGCACTCCAATTTAATTCTTCTTGAAAAGGAAAGAAACGGTAACTTGTTATTATAAATCATTGCACAGACTTTCTCAGATTTGTGACGATTACGTGATGTTATAATTTTATTGCACGTTACACAATTATTTGAGTGACCTCTTACAAAATACTTACCGTCCTGCTACAATGTAGGCGTAATGTATCAAGTTACTAATATCTAAGATAGTTTATACTGCATATATTACCTCAAGAATTACACCATTAGTGCGACATGCAGGTTTTTTTCATGCTTGAATACGACGGTGTTTACATTCGCGATTTGCATTCATTTTATTTCAATACAATTGCGCATAGGATGGCTATGAGAATTCGTGAAACACAGATGTCCGTACGGAGTCAATGTTGTGCTTGAAAATCTCATTGCCTTTCAGTGGTGGCTCCAGAGACAATTTTGAGGTGGGGCAAAAATTCTTGAAATGGAAGGGGAGGGTTTATTGAAAGGGAACTGAAGACTACAGATAAATTTAATGTACGAGAAACCAATAATTATTTGACATTTTTTATATATCAATGGCACACTACAAGAGATTAAATATATTTTAAATTGAAACCTAAAATATTTTATAATTAATTTTAAAAACTGAAATAAATTTAGAGTGATTTTAAGACTGACTAGCATGGAATAAGTTTTGAGCAATACCGCTACCTGTAGGCAAACCGGAGAAAACGTATTTGGAGACGGAGTTCAAAAATTCACCAGTAGGTGGCTCTGGATGTCGTAGAAGGAAATATTTTCCCAAGTGCCACCGATCCCGAGCTGCACCCGCAAACAGCCGCCATTTGCAAGTCCCATTTTGCAATGTTCACAACTCCAAAGCATTGAGGTTGATGAGCATTGAGCAGCGCCATATTTGGCTAAACTGTAACAGGACACAGTTCTCGAACGCCTCTAACCAATGAAAGGAAACACTGAACAAGAAATTCAGGGCTTTTGAATCCTGAAATCGGAGAAGAACGTGGCGAAAATCTCCTTTAACATCTAATACTATACATAAGAAAATGAGAGATGGGTGTGTAATATATGGGAGGACAGTCCCCCTTGAATCTCCCTGCCGTAGACACCATTCACTATTGCAACGAGAACAGGCGAGAAAATATAGTCTTCCGCAGTGGGTATCAAAAGATTCCTGAATAAAACACCGCTTCCTAGGCATAGTTGCCAAATAATCTTTGCCATATATAGCGACCTTCTTCAGGGCAAAATTCGGAACTCATATGAAATTAACAATGCGCATATCGCCCTGATGAAGGTCGCAGTATGATGAAGGTCGCAGTATGACGAACGATACATCGGAAACTATGGTCTGATATATAAACTACGAAAAGTTAATTTTCAAAACGTCCGTCCGTCTATCCGACCATCCGTGAGCGGGTCTATCCGGCCAGCCAGCCGATGGACCGTGAGTCAGTAGAGTTCCCCATTTAAAGATTATTGTTTATTTGAAGTTTCTGAACGCACCAACTACTATGGTCATTAGTTTCAACAGTGCCATGCCGTGCAGTCATTAGTTTCAACAGTACGTGCTGCATTGGTTTGCCTCTCCAGGTATCGCCCGTATAGAGTCACTGTCCCGGCCGGGAAAACCTCTCAGCTTCTGACTAGTCTTCGACATAAGCGGTAGTGGTTTGCATGTACGTGTGTGTTTGTTAGTGAAGAAGAGGTGATAAGGAGGATGAAGGGAAGATACCGCGCAAAGCCTTGCCCGTTTGTTAAGAACTACTCTGGTATTCACCTGGTATTACTCAGAGGAAAAACAGAAAACTACCGATTAGAACAATGGTTGGCGATAATTCTCCTTCAGGGCGTGGTTACACGTGACACAGCTCTCGAGCTATTGTGTCAAACTCGCCCCCTTCGCGACTCTAACACTAGGGCTTCTGTACCAGCGATGTTGCAGAGGCAACCGTAGTCATCAAAGCCATCGTAGTCGGTCTGTCTGCGCGTCATTGCATCTATTAGGCTACCGCCCGTACTCAAGCCGTCCGTCAGGCCTGTCGCCTGACCGGCCGTCAGGCTGTCCCGAAGCCGTCAGGCTAGCACCTAAGCAGCACATAGGATTTTCATTAAAAAAAGATATTCCCCAATCAATCGAATTCGAGATCGACGGAATAGGAGAAAATGTGTGATGTCGTTGCACCAGCACTTCAATCTTTCAAGCGTGACATATCACGCTTCCCGTAACTCCATAAAAACCATAATTTGATCCTCCAAAATGTGATTTAATTTCTAGTAAATCAACACGCGAGTTTACTTGCTGATCATATCTCAAGAAAATTACCTCATTACAACGCTTTATTCTATCTACTTTTCTTACGTGTTATTCATTGTTTGATAGCACTTGATACACAAGATAGCTGTAAACAGTGAAAAACATTACTTTTTTTACAACTGACATTATTATGACGGCTGTGATAGACACCTGTTGCAATAACATTGGCCGTTGGAGTGGGCGACGCAAAAAAGCTCGTGGTGAAGGGGGGCGGAGCAGGGGGGCAGAACGAGGTGCGGAGGCGAAGGTCGTTACGAAGGCGCAGCGGGAAGAGAGGGTGGGGGACAACACACAGTCGAATTCCGACTAGCAGTCGTCTAGAAGTACATTTTCGCCACGTTCCTCCCGCAACAGGTTTCAATCGCTGCAGTCCACCCTCTACCCGATCTCAAGAAACAGACTCCGGGTACACCCTTCCAGCGGTGACCGTTACCATTTCCCACACAAATTCTTTAATAATCGATGCATACTAAACATTCGCACGGCCATCTCTCGGATAGCAACCACTTCAGCTCTGTTGCAAAAAGCGGCCGTGCGGAGTTTCGTGCAGAGGCTCGCGGTGAGCGCGTCCCCAGCCGACGCGACCACTCCGTGGCCCGGATGCACGCCCGGCCGGCCGCGCGGGTGGCGCTGGTGGGGCTGGCGCTGGCGCTGGCGGGTGGCGCGGCCGCGCAGCCGCCCCCGGGCCTGGGCCCCGACGTCCTGGGCCTGCTCGCAGGCCTGCGCCCGGCCAAGGCGGTGGTTCGCGCCGTCAAGGCAGACGCGCCCGACCTTTTCGTCGAGTTGGTGAGTGACCGGCGGGCGATTGTAGTAGTAGTTTGAACAATCGGTTTATAATGTTAAGCTTCATTTCATGTGTTTTGAAAACGACCAACGATTCGAGCGAGTTTTCAAATTTGTACGCAACATTTATAAACGAGTTGCATACGTCATTTTTGGTATAACGTGGTCATAAATTTATAAGAGAATCAGAATTAATTTTGCGAAACAACTTTCTTGTGAGGTCTCGGGTATTTGACATCTGGTCGACAAAACCATAGTCTGTTGTTCCGTTAACCTTTACTTCCCCACGAATCCCTCTCTGCGATTGGATGAACGTGTGTTGACGCAATCATTCGTGCCGTAAAATGTCAAATTATGAACAATTAATGAAACTGAAAAGGATATTTGTAAAGCTGGTATACGAAATTTGTTAACGAGGCGAGGTACTCGTATATCGCCAACCAAGTCCGTTATTTGTGTATTTTGTCGTATATGGTTCATAAATTTCGTTACACCACCTTCTCAAAAGAATAATATTCATAAAAATACCAAATACATTCTCATGGATAACGAGTACTCGTGCCGACTTGTATGTCCGAAGTGGCTAAAAGTGTGTATCGACTCAGCGCTTCAGTCCGAAAGGTCGTGGGTTCGAGTCCCGCCTTGAGAATGGTTGTTTGTCCCTTGCCTGTAATGCATATGTTATCGCAAAGGTCCTCGCGTTCTTCTGACCCCCAGAACAGAGAAACCTTCAAGTGTATCGGTTTATACTGTGTGGCCAAAAACCTGTCCCATTGGGACGAAAAAGTTAACTGGCTTTTTCTAAAAAAAGTCCGAGAAAATAAACAAAAGAAAAACTAGTCCCTACTCATACGCCATCTCTTCATGCTTCATCCTATTGTTCTTAAAGACGCCGGCAGTAAATAATTGCTTTTCTTTCCATTCGTTGCGAGGTCAATGTAACATAACAGTATTACGAAACTGCATAAACGGACGAATCATGGCGTTTTGGATCCTCAATTACATAGGGCATCGGAAATGTTTTAAATGTAATTTTACGTTTATAACATACCATAATATTCAAAAAACATCCCGTTAGAAAAATGGCCGTATTTTCACGAATGCTGTAGGGGCGATTTTTAACAATGAAAACTTTATTTACATTTCACTCGTATTTTTGTTCTCTTCCAAAATGTTTGATTCATTTCTTCAAATATTGTTTCAAATAATTCAAATCATATCTCTTACATTATAAACTATCGTCTGTTTTAATTGTAAACTCACTAATCCTAGTATACACCAGATGTATCTACATTAACATCAAGATTTTTTTCTTCATAATACGAATTTTTCGTACTGTTTAATTCTCCTATTCATTATTATTTTTTCTTATTATTGTACATGTCGTGAGTCTCAACCTATTGCTGAGAACCTTTGATTCTGTCATACTTAGTGCCCATTATGGTATTAAGACGACTCTTAGTGATTATTATTATTATTATTATTATTATTATTATTATTATTATTATTATTATTATTATTATTATTAAAAAAGTAATAGCCAGAAATTTACATACAGCTGCTAGGGCATTTTTAATAGTACCCTCTCATTATTTAAAATATCCATTTCAATGTAGAAGTATCATCATTCAGATCAATGGGAGTTTATCCGTATTGAAGAAAATATTTATCCATGTTTAGTCACTTGTCCGTTTAAAGAACTTACAGAGGCTCTTACTCGAACAGACAGTCTGACACTCGGACAGACAGTCT